CAAATGATAATAAACTGGTTGTCCTTTTGCTATAGTGACCCAGTGCTCTGCTTTCTAGTGTGAGAGAACAGTTGCTGGTGGCCAGTTTTCTTTTCTTGACTCCATTCTAATTTCTATTTCTTCTTTTGAAGACTTCTTATGAAGAAGTTTGAAAGCATTTTTGGTTTTTTGCAATTCAGTTTCTAAGAGCCTGTTGCTGTCACAGCAGATAGGAGAGACGTTAAAAGTCATTGTCTTGGCAAGTGAGGCCTTAGTAGCTGTTAAGTTCAGAATGCTCACTACTGCGTGCATAATTAAAGCACATTAAGTTTCGGTTAGTGATTCGGTTATCAAGCGTTATAATTTGTGGTCTTTTCTGAATGACATTTAGACAGCTCGTGGATGCTTTGAGGATGTACAGTGTTCCTGCACAAGCAGCTGCAATAGTTAATTACAGTGGTTTAAAAAACTTGCACCTGTTTCTAGTTTCAGATTCTAATTATTAGGTCTATTTATGGTTCTTGCTGGCAAAAATAGTCTAATCACAGATTCTTTTAATAATATTGCTTGTTTTAAAGTAGCTACTGCTGTAGTTTCATGGTACTTGAACCTCTGTCTTGACACTTTAGAATAAGCTGTTGGGGTGACTAGAAGGAAGCAGCAGCTTTCTATTAGGTAAGGTTTTTGAAGATTTACTCAAAATACTCTATATTTTAAGAGTTTGCTTATGTTGCCTAGAAGCCGGGGGGGTGGGGTGGATAGTTGGATAGGGAAGCTGTTTGACACATTTTGGTATATGTGTTTATGCTGGGATTCTTTCCAATCTTATATTTTTAGATTGATCCTTTCTGAGGTTTCTTTTCTTTAACTCTGAGTATTTGAATGTAGTGCTATCTACACGCATTAAACCATTGCTGACTCTTTCTTATGCTGGATGGGGAGGTTGTTGGTGTTTGGGTGTGACTTGGGGGGGGGCGTCAGCTGCTCACACATTTCCAATGTTCTCATTCTCTTAACTTTATTCTGTATTTTCACTTAGTTCTTGTTGCTTAAGAACTCAGAAGAAACATGTGGTATTGGTATTTAGGGGTGTGATTTTTCTTCCATTAGGGTCATATACCTGATTATATTCGGTAAAATGTCTTCAGCTGGAACGTAGAATATGACATTTCTTGTAGCTCATGCTGTCCATCATTGGTAATTGCATAGAGAATATCTGTCTGCAGAAGAAGCTCTTGTAGTATCTCCTGTAAACTCCCGCAAATACCTGTTGACCTTTCTCTTCATCTTACTGTTTTCTTATGTTTGTCTCAAAATGTCACTTCCTGGAAGACTTGGAGCTGATCATACAGTTAGCAGTAGAATTTTTCATCTCTATTGAGTCTCTGTGTATTTTCTTCAAACACTTAGGTATTCTGCTGAGTGACTGAAAGAAAGTAGACTGTCATTCAAACCTCCTTAATGACTCTAATTGGATTATAGTGCTGTAGAAATCAACAGCTTTTGTATGTTTATATAGTGGTTCCTGCAGTGTAAACAGACGTGAGTTCAAAACTTGTTTTCCAATTTATGGCTGTTTCATGCAGTTTGAATCTAGAAATAGATGAAGTTGGTAGAGTGATGGAGCTTTTATTGTTACTGTTGTATGCAGCACTTGAGACTGAAAATTTAAAGGAAAGGTAAAGGCAAAATCTTCATGGCACTTGATCTTGATGGTAGAAAATAGTGAAGGTGCACAAAGCACATCACCAGTGACTCATTTTAGTGAGTCAGACTCACTATAACTACTCAAACATCATTAATCTTTTCACACGGGGGATCATATTTGGGGACATGCATGTTAACCGTGGGTTTTACCAAAAACATTTCTATTTAGGAATAAAGCACACTGATTGTAAAGCATCCTCTTCAAATTAGGTTAATGTGACTATACCTTGAACATCTTTTTATTAAGGTCTGAGATACATTGTTACCCTGTTTTTCTGAAAAATTCAGGTTTTTCAGTGATGGTTGAACCTTTGCAAAAAGAATTTCAGTATCCGTTAGCAAAATGTTAGTAGATCTAGTCAGAAGGTAAAGACTGTCACTTGCCTCCAGAAACTGAGTTTTGAAAATGAGAAACGTACTTCCAAAATACATTATCCGCACACTGAAGTATTTTGATTCTTAAATGTTCAGTAGCACTTCCTATTTCTCATTCTCTGTAAGCCACCTCTTTGGCTCCTGTACAGCGTGCTGTCTCTTGGTGAGAACATGACTGTGGGGAATGATGTCTCGTTCTGGCAACCTCATTCTCTCTAGCTGCATTTTACGTAGTCCTCTGCTAGCCTTGGAAAAGCTTTCCAGACTACAGATCCACAGTTTTACATCTTTCAGTTGATAGAAATTTTCAGCTGCTTTTGTTACTGAATTGAGCACATTGCTGCCACAATAGAATGTGAGTAACTTTTACAGGAATACAAGAAAGTTATTTCCCCCCGTAAATGGGTCATAGTAGAAATAAAAGTTATTGTAAATGGTATTACCTGTATTTTCTCACTTTAGGCTAGTCTTTTGCCACTTTGAAAACTGTTTCTTTGCTCTACAGTTGAGGGAAAGAAGGACTGTTACTGTTCAACAGTGTTAATGAGCTTGGATTTGATAGTCAAAGTAAGGAGCTCAGTCCTTCACTTTTTATTGTTTGGGAGAAATATGGATGTGACGTGAGTCATATTGAGAAAAGTGGCTGAAGAACTTCAGTTTGAATGCCTTTCAGTGAGTGCATCTGTTAAAACATTGCATTGTATTTCTGGTGCTGAAATACTGAAAAGTAATAATGCTACTATAATTTTTTTTTAATGCAAACCTAATACACTTAAGAAAAATGTAAGGGCTAATAAAACACTCTTTGTGTAACAATTCATTTTGCTGAGATAATTTATGTTATGGTACCATGGTTTTGCCCCTGCATGCTATGCACATTGGCCTGTAAACTGGGAAGTTATTTTCTGGATGACATCAAGTGATGTCAGGCTCTGTCAAATTGAGAATAAAATGTGTGCCTAAAAAAAAGTCTCTATTTGAGCTTTTGAGCCCAAGCTGAAGACTGGAGCAAAGAGGTGTATAAATTTTAACTTAAAATACTGGATGTTTGAGATAGCAGTCAGGGCTAGTGCACTGGGGGTTTGAACTGTGAATTTCTGGAACTAAAAGCTTCATTTATTGCGCTTTGATTTGCAGTCCTCTGCCTAAGGAGAACTGATTTTTAACAGTCACAAACCCTGCACAAAATGGACCAGTCTGGTGGGATTGCTCCGATACTAATGCAAGTTATTCATTATTAGCTTCATTCTTTGACCTTTTTTTGTAAAGGTGAAGCAGTGCTCTATAATAGACATGACTTGATCTGTGAGATTAGTAAAAACAGTTCTATTATACTTGCAAAGCTCGGTAAGATCTGTCCATATCCCCAAATATTCCAACACAGCACCCCAGCGAGTTACTTAAAATTTGTTTGAATCTCTGGAAACATTATTGGTTTATCGTAGACTTTGTCAAATATTTTTAATAACCTTTGCAGGAAAAATATCCCAATTTAAATATGTAGATACATTCCTATTTTTGTTGTCAGTTTGGTTAACAGTTGTCAATCTTGTGTTTATTTTTTTCTGTAAACTTTGCATTGGTCTTTAATTACTGTTGGATTAGATGATCGCTGTAGGTCCCTTTCAACTGAACTTTTCTATTCTAATTCTCACATAGCAAATGGTGGTTGCTCCTTTTCATTGGTCCGTTTTCAGTATACTGAAAAAAAAATGTGGTATGGGTCAAGTGGCTCAATTCCTCCGAAAAGCAGTTAGGCCAAGCTTGATATTTCTTACGTGGCTTGCTGCTTGCCTTTCTTTTCCATTATGCACTGTCTTCTCCTTAATGGTCTTTGAAAAAGTATTTTTGTCTGGAGGAGGAAACAGGGAGGGAGTGTGGGGTTGGTTTGGTTTGTGTGGTTTTTTTTGCATGTTTTAAATCCCTACAACTATTTTGGCTTACATTAGTGGGATGTGGGGTTGGTTTGGTTTGTGTGGTTTTTTTTGTAACTAGTGCATGTTTTAAATCCTACAACTATTTTGGCATACATTAGTCATTGAGCAGCTCTATATTTTAAAGAAGCTTGAAAAGGTTGTGTTATATTGAGTCTGATGTGTATGTTTCTGATGCCTTGAAATATTTTAGGACTGGAACAGGCCATTTTTTGTCTGTTAGAATAACCTCTTGTGTAACCCAGGCTTTAAAACAGCACTCCTAATTTTGTGTGTGAATCTCAAAACTTTCACTGATCGTTAAAGATCATGATGGAAGATTGTGCTTAGAACCAAGATGATGTTGGTTTTGTTGACAGTGAGTTTCCAAATCATGCTTTCAAAAGCTCTTATGTTCCTAAATCGCTTTATAATTAACTCTGCATTTAATTTGTGAGGTTTATGGACCGTACTGATTGGAACAATGAGTTCTGAATTCAAGACAAAACATGCTGTGGTGGGGTTTGCAGCTCTTGCAGGTCACACCTCATTGTTAATAAAAAGAGTGGCTGTGATTTTTTTTTTCCTGGTTACTTCAGATCTTCACAAGTTGTGTATGATGTATTTATTGTGCAGAAGGCAAGGAAGAGCCCTTCTGCTTTTTTTTTTTAAACTGAGTGATTGCTGGATGTACCTCTGCACGTGTCCTGTAGTTGAAGTACAGAATGTAGGGCTCTTCCTCTCTAAATTTTTGAGTAGACAAGCAAAGGTGCTGAGATATAACCTAGAAAACCCCTATGATACACTTTTCTACAATAGTGTTGCTGATGTGTGCGCTGTTCTTTTAGGGTTCACAGCAAAAATAGTGTAGGATTGTGCACTAACGTAATTCAGTAAACTTGTCTGAATCATTAGAATTACTTAGAGTAAACCAACTTGGGATGTGGCTTCTGTTTTGAAGCTGCCATTTATTTATAAGCAATGTGTTTTTAGTAATGAGATGCTGACTAGCATTTGTGTCTCTAGAGAAGAAGAGGAACGTCTGAGAAATAAGATCCGAGCAGATCATGAAAAGGCTCTGGAAGAGGCTAAGGAGAAATTGAAGAAATCACGTGATGAGATTCAAGCTGAGATTCAGACAGAAAAGAACAAAGTAGTGCAAGAGTTGAAAAAGAAAGACAGCAAGCCACTGCCCCCTGTTCCTTTACCAAATCTTATAGGGATAAACAGTGGAGAACCATCAGACCCGGATATCCGAGAGAAGAGGAACAAAATTAAAGAGGTAAAGATGATGATGATGTGGTCCTACCCATTCTTGTATCTGATAGCAGTTATTTATATGGTGTTTAGTTGCTGTTATTTTATATTAAAAAGAAAAGAAAAACAGGACTACAGATCTTTTTAATAAACAGTAAGCTTAAAGTGCACATCAAGTATTAATGAACATCAGCATTATTGCATGTTTTTTCCTGGTGTTGGAGTGTTAATATTTTGCTGGATAACAACTTAAAAATGATTTTAAGGATTGCTTCAACTCAGTGGTGTGGGTTCAAAGTGAGTTTGTCATTAAGACATGGAACAGCAACAAGTGCATCTTTAAAGCAGAGGACTTTGTTAGGTTCCATTCAAAGAATGGGATATGTTAGTGTGTCACAAGATATTTTTAAATGTTTATAAAGTGGATTGAAAAGATAGTGGGGAAAAAATGACCTGCTGCTAAAATTTCCAAATTATCAAATTATCACATGCTTTTCAAAATAAGTTTTAAATGGGTCTAAAAAACTAGAAGTTTAAGTAGATTGCCTCATTTACCTGTAAAACATTCAAACTAAGATGTTGGCTTAGACTTTTGGTTCTGTGGCAGGTTATGCTATGGGAATTGCTGTTTCTGGTCTTACCCTTTGCACTCCTGGTTGGCTGTGAGATTCATTGCCCTCTTTTGCCCTGGCAATGCCAACTTCCTATGATTATCGCCAGGCATTTTTCTGAGTCTGTACTTCTAATTATTATGGCAGAAACATTGTACAGCCTTCTTTTTCTTTTTCTTTCCTGCAATCTGATTAGTTTTATGCCTAAAAATCGGGTTAGCAAGCAAGAATGGTTCAGGCCAGAGGTAGACAAACACAGGCTCTGTGATTAAAGAACATCCAGGACTACAGCACTTAGTAGTTACATCAGCTAAATCTTCTTTTAAATTGTAATCTGAGTTTAGTTAGCTCATAAAACAAAAACAAGTCAGTCATACACCTGTCCTCGTAATAGGGAGGAGTTGCAGCTGGAGTATGTTGCCATGCTGTGAGTAGATCACCCAAGTTGGAATTTTACTTTGAATATTAATGATGACTAGATGAAATCCACTCTTATCAAATAATGAACAACTGCTTACGATACATGAGTGATACAGCATGGAGCTGTATCACGATTTGAATCTCAAGTAGCAAATCCTTCCCGAGGAGGTGCGCCTATTCTGTTAGTGACCACTGCAGAAGCACTTTTGACTGAGAAGTTGTGTGTGGAGTATTGGACCTCCTTGATCCTGCTTGGTTAGGGCTGTTTCCCAAAAGACAGCACTGAATTGTGGTTTTCAGAAGGCTCTACTGCTTTTCAAAACTGTGTCCTCAAACATTTTCAGTGAGAATATACAGAGAATCTTGCCTTTCAAAATGTCTTCTGAAGGGTGAAGATGAATGGTGAATGGTATGGTCACGTAGTTGTCAACACTTCTTAATTTTTAACTTCAGTTTACTGTATTTAAATTCCTTTGAGTTTGCCACTGATGGATTTAATGGGTAGAATAAAATTGAGTTGACCAAGTAATGTGAAAGTACTGAGCACGGCTAACAATGAAGAACTAGCTGGAAGAAATAATCAACTAAAGTTCCTATAGATCAAGCCTGGAATTGGAGGGAGGGTTGAAAATTAGTATTTGCATTTCTGAGGTTGTTTAGTCAGAGTGTAGACTATGAGAGGAGATGAAAAGCTATAGGTTAATTCAGAACGGCAATTTTCTTGGTGACATGGATAAGTAGTAAAGTTCGGACAATTCTTGCTGATCTAAACCTGAAGGTATAGCAATTTGTGAGTAAGGAATCCAGTGTAGTTTAACTAATAGCTCTGGTGATCCTTAGCTGCAGTTGCCACGAATCTCATGCTGTGAAAGGCTTACTCCTTTTTATGGTGATCAGCCTACATGTGAATCAAACTGACAAGCTGGTTTTTTTATTGCATAACTTGTTAATAGCTCCTATTGTGGTTTCTGAAGTGTAGCTTTTCAGTCAGACCAAAGATTTTATGGGACTACGTATTAGGTGGGTAAGTACTTCAGTTAGGATAATGATACCTTTGTACTGAACAGTCTTCAACAGTGTGGTCACTGTGTTTGAACAGTCCAGGATCATACTAGCAGGATTGAACTTTCTGTCTTTTGTTGTGTGAATTGCCTTAATTGAGTCAGTCTTGTTAGTACTGTAGCTATCAGGCAACCTCCAGAATTTTTAAATTCTTTAATGTAGGGCAGCAGATCATCACTTCTACAGCTAGATGTATGAAGGGGTAGAATACAGGAGTGGAAGGTCTGCTAGTGAGAATGGACAAATGATAATGCTGAAGAACCCATTGTTGGTGCATTGTCATTTTTGTTTGGCCTCTGTGTCTGCTTCTGGATTTTGGCATCTCCTATGTTGCAATGAATATAATGTGCCTGAGATAAAACATATATCAACAGTGTCAGATGAATAATATTTTGCCTGAAACCTGTTTTTTGACAGCATCAGATGTATCGCAGAAGGCTGCAGCAATTCCAGAGATGCAAAGTGCATTTTGAAATATGCTATGATAGTTGCTGAGGTCTTCTCTCATTGGTTTTTGTAACTAGTGTAGACTAATACAAATAGTCTACAAAACCTGATCTAGTCGAAGATGTCTCTGCCCACAGCAGGGGGGTTGGACTAGATGGCCTTTAAAGGTCCCTTCCAACCCAAACTATTTTATGATTCTTTGTAGATGAGAGAGAGACTTAGCAAAAAACCCCTAAATTCTAGGAGACAATGTCTCTAACATAGATCTACACCTAGCTTATGTAGCATTTCTGACATGCAAGACATTATGGTTACCTGGATCGAGACCAAAAAAAATAGCACAGGGAAGCTCCTAGCTCTTTGGATGCTGCATATCCGGCTTTAGAATTCCATGTGGTCCTGAGAAGGCATTTGGTTAATGCCTTGGTGTACTTTGAAGGGTCCTGATGCATATTTGAGGCACTTGACTCTCTCGGAACAGCTTTAGACTGCTTAAATTCACAAAATGAGTGAATTTATACAGCTGATTTTGCCTAGTATCAAATGGTAAAAAACTGTAGAATTGGACTACATGTTGTAGCATGCACGTGGCTCTTGACAATTGGGAGAAAGACTGGAAAACTTTCAAATGGGGATCTCGTTTCTATCATTTTTAAAGAAAATTTATTACTACTTTTTCTTTCTAAAGAACAACTTGGTGAAGTCTTTTTTAACAGATCTTTGTATAAAAAGTGGTTTTGCAGTACTTAAATTTTAAAGAACTTAAATATCTTAAAAATACATATTTTGATTTAAAAAAAAAATCTGAGCACAGTGAGAGAGGCTTCTTAAGGTCATAGAATAAACCAGGAGCAGAATCTGCATCTCTTGGTTTTGTTTTTGTCTTTGGTTCTGATATTTATATTTAGTGTTACATTGTATTCTCAATTGTAACTAATTCACAGAATTGTATAATTTGTCTGTATTATTCTAAAAAGCTGTTAATTCAGTTATTTCAATAAGGACTATTTATGAGTTGGCTGATTATTTTAGATGCACAGTAACAACTTTAAGTAAAGGTTTTCCACCTGCTTATCTTACATGCTTTGTAGCACTTCTCTAGAATATTAGCTTGTTTATCTGGTTTTTAAAAAATGCTATAGTTTTTAATTAACTAGTGTTTTAAGAATAAACACATCTGAATTATTCTTGCTGCTACACTTTAGCTTTGTATTAATATTTTAGTGATTTTTTTTCATACTAAGTAAAAGATGAGAAAATGGTTTTATAAGAGGGTAGATGTAATTTGTATAATTTTCCAAAAAGAATTTAAGATGTGTCTTTTTATTGTGGTTAATGCAAAGAAATTACGAACAAAACTCATCTTTTGGAAGTCATTGGCTTCCTTTTCAAGTTAAACTAGGTATAAATTGCATGAGCACTAAGAATTTTTGGCACTTAATTTCCATTATTATGTCCTTTAAATAGTGTTCAGAATACTGATGTTTTTCTGCAGCTTAAGTGTAATCATTACTGATAGTGCTTTTCTTTATTTAAATGAGTTTTGTTTCCTTGAGGAGTTAAATTTTACCCAGTCAAATAAGGAAAACTTTCTTTTCACCCTGCTCAGGGTTCAGGTTTTCTTTCATTTAAGCCTAAGATTTCACAGTATTACCGCCAGCTTTCATTTCAGATACTCATTAAAATAGAGTATTTAATAGTACTTAGTACTATAGTAATTAGTACAATAATAGTACTAATCCCATGCAGCATATTTTTTTATATATACCTTGTTCTAAACATTTAAATGTTTATTTTGAGGTCTTGGATTGTTAAAGTCCGGAGGTCTGAGAAGCATTGAAATTATGGATGTATAAGTTTTACATACAAGTCAGTATGTGTTGTATTACATAGAGTATGGTTTTTGCATTTGTACTGACTACAGAGCTCTGGGGGCGATTGCCAGTGACCCGGGGGCCTGGGTAGTGGTCTCATTGATCCTGTCAGTAAGGGGAAAGGGTCTGAGGAGGAGGGCACTGGCAATGCACATCAGCAGTTGGTTGTGGAGCTTGTGTTGGCAGCAGGGTTTTGGGTTCTACAACCATGGGACCCTGTTTGCAGGGTCTGCCTGGGAGAGATGGGATCCACCTCACTAAGGCAGGACAAAGGCATCTTTGCCAGCAGGATGGCTGACTTCCTAAGGAGGGCTTTGAACTAGGAATGATGGGGGATGGAGAGACTAACCAGCAGCCCTGTGAGGGAGTGACTGACAGGGTGGACGAGCAAAGGGCCTGTGGTGATGTGACAGAAAGGGATCACAAAATCAGCAAAACAGGGCTTAGGCAGGGTCACCTCTAGCATTTGCATATAAGCAAGGAAGTGCCTATAAGGCACCGTTATGGAGAAATCCCTAAAACCCTTTCTGGGAAATCAGCATGCCAGGGTACCTCTCTGAAGTGCACGTACAATAATGCATGCGGCATGGGGACTAAACATGACGAGTCTG